CTTAAAAATTAATACTAAAATGTAGAAAAGAATGTGCCTCTCAGAACACTGTGGGTACTGAGGTATAGAAGTGTAAGAATATCTGAGACCACAACATTTTATCTTCCTCTCCACTGAGATGTGTTCTCTCTAGTATCTTCCACTTCTCTTAGTGTCTCCTCACTTGTTTCTCAAAACACAGGCATGTTCAAATCAAGTTTACTGTCACAAAAATTTTGAAATTCACCCAAAACTCTCATGGCTGTGACAGGCAAGACTTAGGAGTGGGGCACTGCACAGTGGTAGACAATGAGCAAGGAAATCCAAGTTTTCATTCTACAGTACTTCTCCTGACTTGTTCTAGGACTTTAGAGAAAAGTTGTAACTTCTCATACTGCTTAATTTGAAAGATATGAAATAAAGGCGAACCAATTTGCTTCCTTTCACGTGTATATATGTGGTCGAAGTGTCCGCATATGTGTTAAGTTTAAGTCTGTATGTGATCCTGAAAAATATAATGGTTTATATTCCTCAGCCTTATTCTACATTTCAACACTTTGAAAAGATTGCTTTTGAATAGTTGCCAGTCTTAGAGTGCTATAAATCAAGTTTGCAGTTTTAATTCTTTTTATTATTTCCTGCCATTTTAAAAATATTATTTTGATTTTATGTGTATGAGTGTATGTATGTATGTAAGTGCACCGATGTTATGCAATTCCTGCAGAGGTTAGAAGAAGTCATTGGAGTCCCCTGGAACTGGAGTTACATATGGTTGTTAGCTGCCAGGTGGGTGCTGGGAACTGAAAGCGGGTCCTCTGTAAGAGGAGCCAGTGCTCTCAATGACTGAGCCATGTCTTCTGCTCCTTTTCTGCCATTGTTAAGGTGTCATGATACAAGTTCAAATTAGGGGAAAAAGAGGAAAATAAGGGCAGGGCCATAATCTGAACAATCAACTAAAAATTTGTTGGCTATTTTGAAGTTAAAGATTGTTAGGTTAGACATTATGCAGTTGCAATCATTATTGAATTTAAGTGAAAAAAATAAATAAGAGTCTTGTCAAAGCCACACACTGATGCCTGGACCCCTTATGAGAGAACTCTCAAGAAAATGAATCTCACTGTTGAGGTTACAATGAATCAGCTAAGTACCTTCCAGGCTGGGAAGCATGAAAATTGTACTTCAATTTATGCGGACTATTGTCTCGTGTTTAAAAGAGAAATGAAATAGCAATGACAGTATTGACTCAAAGACTATGTCATCAGCATTAATCTGACAAGCTTTACAATGCCCTGAATCTTTTAAGAATTAAGATATCTGTCCTTTCAGCCTGAGACTTTCCGAACTCCTCTTCTTTCTTGTTTCTATGTGCATGCACCTCATGCTCCAGGCTATCACTCTCAACTGCCAGACTCCCCACTTGTTTCTGAGCCTCTGACCTCTGGCCTCAGAAACAAGTGGCATTTGTATGCCTGGTACCTTCTGATCTCATTCTCTTTTCTTAATACATTGTCCTGCCTATAATCTCTGGTAAAGGACAGCACTTCCCAAATATCTAGGTTTTTATGCCACCCTCTGGGAGCCCTTCCTTATGCCTCAGCAAGCTCTTCATAAGATTGCACCAATGAATCGATTGGTATCTAATATAAACAAAGTTCAGTTGAGGAATTCCCAGTGTCAGATCGTTTCACAAACAGCAAGTGTACTCATTGGCCAAGTCTTCAGCTGTGGCCTAATTAAAGTCCGAACAGTAAGGTAAAGTTTCTTTTTCAGAACATATTTATGGAATATAAATTATTCAAAGAATCCTAAATTGTGTAATATGAAAACATGAAGTCTTCACATATTTTCATTTGTCCATTATTGATTTTAGTAGTGTAACGACCTCCAGGATGAAGAATGTTATGACTGTGAAATGGAAAACATGACCATTTGCTTATTGCTGTATATTATAAGAATTTTGTGTTTATCAAATGATTAAGTGCCATTTTCATCAATGCTTAGAGTGCGTGGTTAACTGTAAAGTAAGCTTTGGAATTTATGCTACTTCCTTCTGGAAATTATACTTTTTATTTTCAATGTCTCAGGTGAGACATTTGAGGTCCAAGAACACAGCTATGTTTCAAAGCTACCCAATTTGAGAATGAAGATTTAAATTAGTTTTTCATCCTCTTAATCAGATATATTTTAGACAGTAATGTTACCTAAGAGTCAAAAAGAGAGGTGTTTTAGGGTAAGATACCTTACTAGGTGAATTATAAGGAAGAGCTGGTACTAGAATCAAAGGGATCTAGATGAAGTAAGTGCATTTCAATTCCAAACACTCATCTAAAACTAATTTAATAAAAGCTATTACTTATTTTCTGTCATGTGAACTAATTGATATAGTTCAAAGTACGTCTGTGTTTATCAAAAATTGTATGAAGCCTTATTTTGGGCAAAGATGAGCTAACATTAATCAGTCCCTTTCTGAGGTACAATAGCCACCTCTCTATTACTCTCAAAGCCACTGCTTTACATAAAGTTGTAGTTTGGAATTGAAAGAAAAATTGGTAATTTGTTCAAAAGATGTGAACAAAATGGACCCCTTCCTTTCACAGGCACAATTATAGTTTCAAATGGTTATATTAATTCAACCAAAGAGTACGTGAATTTCATTTTTAGATTTCATCTTGAGTCCTTGCCACAAGCAAAATAATAAATTCTTCACCCTACAGAAGCTTGTTAGCAAAACTTTCACTGCAAGGCTCATGTAATTACCCTGTAGATTACAGCTCAGATACAATAGGGAACCTGGTCTTTCCTTCTAATTGGCAGCTCTTACACTTGCCACACAGAAAATGGGTAGATATGGTCCAGTTATCAAAGTTTTAACAAAGATGGATTTTTTTTTGTTTGGTGCTGATTTATTTTTGTGAGCCTCTACATCTTGAATTTAGAATATGTGGGAAGAATATTCCATGCACAGGCCAATTATAAACAGCACCTCCAGCACATACTGATGTCTGCTGAAACGACTACATTCTGTGCTAACTGAGATTGCTGATACTATCTGCAAGAGTAGAGTGCCTTGTAGACAGTAATCGGTTATTGTGAATAAGAAGATCTGTTCCAGGCCATTTCCCACCAAATGTCCTCAGAGGACCTTCCCTTCCATTGCCTTTCAGTCCTCTTCTGGTGATTTAACCTTTTATTTCAATTTATGATTTGAACTTTCTTTTCCACAGCTGTGATTGCTTCATGAAATAAATTGAAAGTCCTTTACGTAGCTGAAGGCAAACTTAATCCACTGGACTTGAAACCTGAGGCCTGGGCCTGTGCCATAGCTATGAAACATTCTGACTCCCCATTATTCCCTGTGAGTTTCTTTATCATTTCGGATATTTTATTTGATTTAACCAAATTTTCTCTGAAATATGGCGATTTGTGCCCCAAATGTGAAGTCTCTAAATTATCTTTAAAATCAAACCAAATGAGGGACTAGAAAGATAGCTCAGTGTTTAAGAACACTGGCCTCTTTTGCAGAGGACCCAGGTTCAGTTCCCAGCACCCACACGGCAGCTAACAACCATCTGGAACTCCAGTTCCAAGGGATCTGACACCGTCTTTTGACCTCTGTGGTCATTAAATGCAGGCACTGCACTTTTATGCATGCAAGTAAAACACCCATACAAATAAAACAATAAATCTTTTTAAAAATCAAAACCAATGCAATTATCTTATTGTCACGGTTCTTCCCTGTGTTTCTTATCAGGATAACTATTGATCTAGTGAGTTTTCTCCAGTCTATAACTCACTTTCAAAAAGAATTCGTCCATGAGTTCCTAAGCAAATGTTTAAATGAGTTTCTGTGAACTTTCTTAGGGGCACTTTTGTTTAAAAAGTAATATTTTGTTTCTATTAAATTTAACTCAATATAAAGAATCAGACTTTTTAGTATCAGTGAGCTGAAAGGGAGAGACTGGGAAGGAGGATGGAGGAGAGGAAGGGCAAAGAAGAACTGGGACAGAAAAGGAGAGAGGCGGAGAGAAAGAATACGAAAGCATATCTCTTGTACTTAATAGCTGTTTAGTTGTTTATATGGCTGTTTATTCTACAGTCCCTCCAAGATGCCTAAACATGCTCATCATAGCTAGTTGGGTTACAGGTTTGGCTCACTGAACAACCACACTAAAAGAAAAGGAAACAAGCATATACATATATCGTCGTGGAACCTTATTCTGACATAAAGAATCCACTGAAGAATTTTTAAAATTCTAGTCATTACAAATTTCATAAAACTAAAAGGATGTTCCGATTTAAACACACTTATCTAAATATTCAAAGCTGGCACCTATCTATGAGAAAGAACATTAGATATTTGTCTTCTGGGTCACGGTTACCTCACTCAGGATGACTGTTTACAGTTCTATTTGCCTGTGGATTCATAATTCGGTTTTTCTTAACAACTGAATAATATTCCACCATTAAATGTACTACACTTTCATTATCCATTAATCAGTTGATGGACAACTAAGACATTTCCACTTCCTGGATATTGTGAACAGGACAGTAATGAACATGGATGAAGGGATTTCTGTGTCTACCTGTGGCCCAGGATGTAGGGGAGGTGAGTAGGAAACCCCAATCATATCTGAATATCTATTGGCAATTGATGGACCGTAGGAGAGGGAGAGTCAATTTTTCTCATTGATATGATGCCTGGTACTTTGACAAGATTCCAGGGCATGAACCCACAGGGAGGAGCATGAGGGAGGCATGGAATAAAATTGATAAGCCTTTTAAAATATGAACACTGCTGCACCAACCTAAGTGGTTTTCTATGCCAGTCATTGTTGTGGATATTAGACTTTACACCTGGGTTGGAACATTGATTGATTTTCTCCCTTAGCATTTTGCGTAGTATCCTCTGATACTATTCGAGCTGATCTTCTTGGAGGAGGCTTCCAGATCCGTTCTAGCTCCATTGCTTCAAGTCCTATGTCTGAAGTATATTTCTGTCTTCAACAATAGGGTCTTATCTTCAAATTTGGCAAGGAAATCAAGGGCTGTGGCAATAACCTGTGTCATTTGGGGAGTCTCTTGTACTACCCCACCAACAGCTAAAAGGTAAGTTTCTCCTGTCTGACACTGTTTTCCTGTTAAATTAACCTTCAGCTATACATATGCACTCATGTACAGATATTAAATGCATATTTTTCATTAGCATTTTGAATGAATACATTTCCCTCTTGTTTTACATACTACCTAAGCATTATTTATCTCTCCCCTCTCTCTCCCTGTCTAACCCTCTCCTTTCTCCTCAGTTAAAGTACATGCATTTCCCCCATTTCCCTGTTGATGATACCCTCTCTTGAGCTCCTTCTTCCCATGAACCCTGACAGTTATTTGTATAAGCCTCCCTCCTCCCTTCCCATTTCCCCTATTTTCCCTTGCTAATATTTACTCTCCCCTCCTCTCAGGCTCCTTCTTTCCTTTCCCACCACCGTTTCTTTCTGTTTTTCTAGCTCCTACAGTTACATCACGACATATAATCACATATAAGGATTTAGGACTTAAGTTAAGATGCAATAGTGAGAAAAAACATACATTGTTCTGACTCTGTGTTACTTCACTTAGTACGATGGTTTCTAGTTCCATCTGTTTACCTGTAAATGTCTTCATACCTGTAAAATGATTCCATATTTACCACTGAGTAGAACTCCATTTTGTAAATATACCACACTTTTATTATTCATTCATCAGTTGAGGGACATTTAGGTTGTTTCTATTTCTTAGCTATGTGAAAAGGGCAGCAACAAATATGGATGCACACATATCTCTGCAGTAGGATGAGTCCTTTGGGTATGTGCCAAGGAGTGTTATAACCAGATCAAATGGAAGATTTATTTTTAGTTTTTAAAGGATTGACGCTGCTTTCTGTAGTTGTTGTACGAGCTTGCAAACTCAGCAGAAGTGAATGAGCAGTCCCCTTTCCCTGCATCTATGGCAGCATTTGTTGTCGTTTGTTCTCTTGATCTTAGCCATTCTGACTCTCTTGAGGGTAATTAACAGCTACTTAATTTGACTTAAAGCCTGCTTAGCTTTGGTTGTATATTGGTGAGCATAGCTGCCTTCCAAGCCTGATTAATGGGAGGGAACTCGTGTGTGATACTGTAACATAGCCAACACATGGCTGGAGATGTCATAAATCCCAGAGGAAAATCTGTCTTTGTCACATCCTTAGGCAAACACAATTTCTTTTTGTATTATAAATATGAATCCTTTTATTTACCGACAAATATACCTCTCACCACTCATCAAAGAAGCTTCTTTTTGCAACAGATGGGACTATTATAGCATTGCACAACTGGTCAAACACTGAGAGTAAGTGTCTCTGAGATACACAGCCTTAAGTGACATACCTATAATGGAGCTTCTACACCTAAAGTTCTTGGAACATAGTGGAACAGGAGATAGAGAGAACATTACTGCATCTCCCAAGTCTCACCAGAAAGCCTCCTTGTGTAACAAAGGGTGATTAACACAGAAAGCCACAACTGGTCAAAATGCAGAGAATAAGAAACTGCAGAGTGTGTCCCTGGATAGGCCTCCTATATTAAACCTCACCCACCTAGGCTTCAGGGACCATTGTGGAAGAGGGGATGAAAGATTGTAAGACCACAAGGAAACAGTTTTCCAAGTGCCTGGGAACTTGCTCATATGAACATACAGCAATGGTGACAGCATGTAAAAGACACATGGAAACTCAGATCAGACAAAAACTCAGCATAGAATTGGGGAAATGGGTAAGGAGTCCCAACTTTAGCTGAGGAACGATTGACAGCTGATCACCAATAAGTAAGAGAGAATTGATATTCTTTAAGAAAGTGATGCTAGATAGGTTGGCCTGGCTCTAGTGGATAAACTCTTGTCAAGGAATATCTGGGGACACAAACTTTACTTGTTAGACCTTAACATATGTGACTGAATGCATGAAATATGGTGCGGGGTTATGGGGCCAGTGCAGCTGGGGAGGAGGTTCTAAATATGATTAAGATGTATTATATGAAATACATAAGGTTCAATAAAATGTGTATTAAACAAAGAACTGCAAAGGGCACTAGGAACTTAGAAGTTGTATATGTATATGTGGAAACTTCTGGAAATGTCTTCTTGTAGCAAATATCGTTCTATGTGTTCATCCAAGTGAGTGTTTAATAAATTATCATAATGGTATAAAAATAAGTACAGAAAAAATTTTAAAACTTTAAAAAGAAAAGGACAGATAATATTGGAGGATGTGTAATCAAGGAGGTGGTAGTGGGTAAGTGGTAAAGAGGGGAAAGAATTCTGAATATGATAAAAACTGTTTGCATGGAATTCTGGAATAAATAAAAAAATTAAACTAGTAAATGGTTATCTGACTTTCTAAAAAGCTAAGAAGCATGGCTAATGGATGACGTGCGTCTGAGAAGGTCACTGGTCCAGGGTGCTAGCCTCCTTTTCCCCCTTTCTCTGTTTATATCTATTTCATCCCTTAGTCTATTGCTCTGTACTTCCCCTTGACGTCTTTAGTGAGCATAATATTTTTATAAACATTTTGTGACTATATATTTGAGAGGAATTGATGACAATGTGATAAATGTGCAGGTAATATTCAAATTAATCTTTAAGTAGTCCTCTAGGGCACATGTTTTATCCTAAGTAACACCCAGGAGAGGACAGGTGGACTTTTAAAGTGCTTGTTATTGATGAATGGGATGTGAGACTGATTGTGAAATGCTTACAGGGTTTACCAAAAGATGACTTCTCAATTCCTCCAATGTGGGCAAGAAAGTGACTCTGAATTTCATAAAGGAAAGGAATTAGTTTAAGCTTGGAACTAACTCTTTCGCCAATGTCTTCATGCAGCCCAAAGGATCTATTACCTTGATGCAATAAAGATGTTGCCTTACATTTCATAGCAGTTTATTCTTTCTACAAAGTAGCTGTATGTATATATGCTATGTTGTGTGTGTGTGTGTGTGCGTGTGTGTGTGTGTGTGTGTGTGTTCATATGTAGGTCTGTGAATACCTGTGCTACAGAGGTCAATCTCCTTTGTCTTTCTCTTCACCTTTGAGGTGAGGTTTCATTTTTGTTTGACTGCTACTGAATTCGGCAGGCTAGTTGGCTGGTGAGATTCTGGGGATGCTCCTGTCTCTGACTCCTGTCTCCTCTCATGAGTGTCGGGGATGTACGTATGTGCACAGTACTGTGCCTGGCTTCTGCATCTGTTCAAGCTCGGTACTCAGGCTTGCACAAGATCTTCACCTACTCAATCATCTCCCCAGCCCACTTTATGCTTTTGAAGTCCTCACCTTAATCGCCTCCTTTCTCTTTCTGTCATGGAAGGAACAATAGAGGTAAATGAATTAAATGTTCAGTTAATTCATATCTCAGAGGTCTTCATTATGATTATAATTAGAATTTTCTCTTTTATTCTAACCTCAGTGTTGTTACCAACTCTTTGATTAGATCAAGAAATCTGAAACTAAGCCAAGGAAAGGACATTTTCTTTTACTCAATAGTTGCCAAATATTTTCACTTTAAAAACTTGGCTTACATTTTAATGTAATTTGCAGTAACGATCATGTGTCACATGGCAGCATTTGGCTCAACAAAAGACCCAGTTTAGTATCACAAGAAGACTGAGACAGTCCTATGCCCTAATAACTTGGTAGCTGTGGTCATGTGGCCACACAAGGCTTTACTCACAGGTGTGTAGTGATACCAGTTAGCAAGCCTATGCTGTCAGCCTGTGAAAGAAAACCACATAGTATTATGTACAATTAATCACACTTGATGATAATAAATAACCAAGTCATTGGGGTATGAATTTTCCTATATTATACCGTATCCATTATTTTATAGTGCACTCCTGCTTGCTAAGAAAAAGTTCACTGGAAAACAGAAGAATCATACACCTCATGCTTATTGGGTCTTTTGATTACATAAACCAGTCATGTTAAATGATTAATCCATTCCTATACTGTGAAACTACACTTTATGATGTTCCATAATGACAATGATTCCTGTTAACGCATTTTTCAAACATACTCTGATAGTTAAGTGATGCATAACTGAACATTCACTTTAAGTTGTTAAAATAAACACTGAGGGGCTGGAGAGATGGCTCAGAGGTTAAGAGCACTGAAAGTGAAAAAAACAGCCAGTTATGCAATTTATTTCATTACTTGTTTGCTTACTTTTGGTTTTCAGTAGATTATCATTTGGCTTGTTAAAGTAATTAGTGTAGCTTAGCTGGTATGCCATGTAGAAAGGAATTATATATATCCTAATTAAATAAGATGGCTGCAGACTTCATAACAGCTAAGAAGTTCAAATTCTACATTATAGAGATACTATAATTTTAGAATAAGATTACTTATTTCAAGTAACAAAATCTCAAACATCATATTGACTCAAGTAATCTTTCTTTTCTTTTTTTTTGGTCTTTTGGAGACAGGGTCTCCCTGTAGCCCCAGCTGTCCTGGAACTCACTATGTAGACCAGGCTGGCCTTGAACTCACAGGGATCTGCCTGCCTCTGCCTCCCGAGTGCAAGTGCTGAGATTAAAGACATGCGCCACCATGCCGGGCTCAAGTAATCTTTTTAAGCAGAGATATTCATCATAACCATAAAAATATTCCTTATCGGATCATTTTTCACACTGATGTATTAAAATATACTCTTTAGGCTTAAGAATCAAGCTTTAGACATCTTCAGTTTATTGAAGTATCAAATTTGAAGTACGGATCTTTTTCATGTTTTAAGAACATGTTATTCTTGGAAAAAATAATTCAGTTTTTCATACTTTCCAAAAATATAAATAAAGTAATCTCTGATTTAAAAAAAAACTCATGGGTTATAAAGACATTTTCTAAAATTACTGGACACAAAATTATAGAAATACTGCTATATACTTTTTTAATATTTTGCTTTTTATTTTATGTGTATGAGTGAATTGCCTGCATATATGTAAGTGCACACATGCTGTGGACTTACATGACATGGAGGTCAGAAGAGGGGTTTGGATCCCATGAAACTGAAGTTAACAGACTGTTGTTAGGCACCATGTGGGTATTGAGAACTGAACCTGAGTCCTCTGCAAGAGTAGTCAGTGCTCTTAAACACTGAGCCAGCTGCTGAATACTGCTATATTAAAGCATTATGTCCACTTTTAATGACAGTTTTACTTAACAGGAAGTTATTTTTTTAGTTTTTTTTTTTGTGTGTGTGTGTGTGTGTGTGTGTGCTCTTTGTTTTTTCTTTTTCTTCTTGATCTTTTTGACACAGAGTCTTTCTGTAGCCCCACCTGGTTTGGAACTACCTAAGTAGATCAGGCTTGCCTTTATCTCACGGAGATCCCCCTGCCTCTGCCTCCTGAATGCTGGAATTAAAGGCATCCACCAGCATGTGTGCTTTTATGGGAGCTTTTATTATACATTGTTCTGACAGAGTAGAATTTATTTTTGGCATATAAAAAGCTTTTCTACTTGATCGTTCTGGCTTGAAATATGCAGCCTTCTACATTCCTACCTTCCTTAAATCCTCTTGCTACCAAGTTTCTGTAAGTCATCTAGAAATCTAATTTCCATATCTTGAACAAATACATTGTCAATGAACACTGTTAATGAATTCCATACCATTGTTCAGAAACCTTCCATGACTTACCAGCTACTTGAAAAGAAACTTATGTAGTTTGACATGGCAATGTTTTAACAATTTTGATCCACCCAGTTCTCCAGTTTTAATCCCTACATCACTTTAATGTACACCTGTTCTCGACTGAATGTATTATTTCAAAGTCACATACTGAAACTTCAATGTCCGATGCAATGGCATTTATTTAGAGATGGGGCTTCTGTGGGGCAGTTAGGTCAGGTCCTCACAATGATATTAGTGACCCTACAAAAGGAGAAAGGAGAGAGCACATTTCCTCTCTCTCATCATGTAAAGATGCCAGAAGACAGACATATACAACTATCTGCAATGAGGAAGAAGGCCCCCAGCAGACTACAGCTATTGGAACCTTGTTTCTTTTCCCACCTCCATAACTCTAAACAAGAAGTTCATGTGAGTTAAGCTACCTGTAGTTTGAGATTTCATAACAGCAGTCCAAATGACTGGGAGTATGCTATAACTTAGGGAATTTTCCACTAATGTGCCTTAAACATATAATTAACTCTAATCATTTGTCTTTGCATATGTTCTCCCCAAAATATTTTTTCTTAAACTGTAATTTAAATGGAATCTTCATGACTTTTTTTTTGTTTGTTTTTTTGAGACAGGGTCTCCCTGTAACCCCAGCTGTCCTGGAACTCACTATGTAGACCGGGCTGGCCTTGAACTCAAAGAGTTCTGCCTGCCTCTGCATCCCAAGTGCTGGGACTACAGACATGCGCCACCACATCCGGCTCATGACTTATTTTTGAATCTACACTGAGAGCATCTCTTCTCCCTTTCCTGTCTCCAGAGAAGACGTACACATGACATCTAATATTTACAATTTTTTACTAAACAATAGATTATTGGAGAATTGTCTATACTTCTTTTCTGTCTTTGCATCCCTAAAAGTAACATTTAGATTAGTAACTTGCCCATGATAGGACTTCAATAAATATTTAGGAGTTAAGATCATTGTCTTTGTTAAAAAGATGACTTATATTTAAGGAACTATTTACAAAATTTAGAAATTAAGGTTGATTGCTTTAGACAATCAGATACCTTTAATTCTGGAGTAATCCTGTCTCAGCCAAGTATGAACTATTTTCCTTGTGTAATTAGAAAGAAAAATATACAACACATCACTCATCATTTCTGAATATTATGTTAATGTATGAAAAAGGGCAAAAGCATAAACAAAGAAAATATATTTAGGATCTATCCAAAAGAAACAGGCCAAAAAAAGAAAAAAATAAAACAAATAAACTAAGGGCAAATAGGCCAATTTCTTATCTGGATTTCATTTAAAATGATATTGGTAAAACTATGTATAGTACCCAAATTACCTCATATCAATGAGTTTCAATTGAGATGTTTGCTAAGTGAAGTCTTCTGAAAAGGGAGACAGCATGATAATTCAGTGAAATCATGGTAGAAATTATTTTATCACTATTGGTAAAAGTGAGAGGGAAAGCAGAGTCAGAGGTCACTTTTTGTAACTTGGTAGTCTTTTCCTTGGCCTTAAAATCAGGCCTACACTTTCCTCCAGTAATGACATTTACAAAAATTTATTTTATAAAAAAATTGTTTTATTGGCAGATCTCGTCCCTTCCTGCAGCCAGGGATATTAGAAATATCTAATCTAAAGATGTCTCATAGAGGCTGGGGATACCAATAAGGGGCTCTGTTTTTTTGATTTTTTTTTTTCTATTTCTCTCTCTTTTTGCCAAAGTAATACCCTGCTCCTGGAAGACATGCTGAGGACATTACCAGAACCTTGATGGATGCGGACACCTGGAATGAGGACTGAATTGATCAGCTCATCTCCCCTTCTCTCCTCCCTCCACTAAATCCTTATTGACTCCTGAGAAATGAAACCATTGTACTACGCTTAATCAACTGTTGTCTCCAAAGATTCTTACAAATATCCTGACTGAGCAGCCGTTACCTGAGACCAAAGTAAGGCTATGTTCCTGTTCCAGACCACCAGAGGACTCCCTCTCAGTTAAGAGAAAAGGGGGCACACTATTCCTCTCTTGTTAAGTCTTCAGGGTCTGGAATGATGGAAAATCAGCCTGACAATGGCTGAAGGAACTCATCATCCACCCACCTTGCCTCTCAATTCCAGGAGGGAGCTACATCTATTTCAGAACACACGGCCCCTAGAAAACAACATCTGGTTCCTTATCAGCCTTCCTGTAGATCTGGTTCCTCACCAAACCCTTTATCAGAACTCCCCATCTCTCCTTACCTGATCCTAGGAAGGAGCACCCCCCCCCCCCGCCAAGGCATGCCCTGCCTTCTGCGATTTGGAGAGGATTTTTGAGCCCACCTATAAATCCCAGCCCTCCTCCAACCCCAATGCCCCAACTTCCATACCTGTGGGAAGGTTGCATGGTCCTTGTAGCTAATAAAGTGATCTGTATCTATCAAAAAAAAAATCATAGATGCTCATTAATTTTAAATACAAGACTTTTTTCACAAAATATTGATAATAAAGCATTGGGAAAATGTTCTTGTAGGCTGTCTAATCAAATGAAAAGCATTCATGCAATGGCACAGAAGGTACTGATGGTTAAAACAATAGAATTTAGATGATTATAAGGGAAATATCAAATACAGATAGAATAGCAACTCATAAGAATACTTACAGCCCTGAGAGGTTCAAATTCTGTATTATAATATTTCAGGATGATAGTGTAAGAATCAATCTCATTATAGAAATTCTAAATATTCCAAATATTTCTACTTTTGGAATAAGATATTTAGCTTTTTTTAACTTAAAAAAACTTTATGGAGAATTTCATAAATGCATATGAAGTGTTTTGATCAAATCCATTTCCACTCCCTCCCTTCCAATACCCCCCATATCTTCCCATCACTTTTTCCTGACAACTTCATGTACTCTTTCTCTTTCTTTCTTTCTTTCTTTCTTTCTTTCTTTCTTTCTTTCTTTCTTTCTTTCTTTCTTTCTTTTTCTC